GGGAATCGAACTCATGCAGAAGTGGTTTCAGCTTCTTAGTGCAGTGCTTTAACCCACTGGGCCACCAGGGAGGGCCTGTACCACATATTTTTAATGCAGTCATCTACTTTTGGGTGTTTGGGATGCTTTATTTTAAATGACTACTGCCTAGTACATAGAGCTCTGCAGGGGCCAGATCACATAGAGCTTTGTAGGCCATGGTGTCAAGAATTCAGGTTTTGATATATGAAGTCTTGTTGCTAGGCTGCTTTCCATTCAAGAGCACACTATCCACAGCAGTTTGGCAACTCAGTCTAGTTTTTCATATGAGGAAACATAGTAACCGATATACTTCTAGATTTCTAACCAGATACTCATTTTGCATTTATGTGTTTACTTATTTTCCATCTCCTCTGGAGTGGAAATATCTTGAGGAGGTATATTTATATCTTGTTCCTCATTTTACTTTTTTTTTAAACTCTTATTTGGTGACATAAGGGTTAAGTGTTAGCACTGTGAAGCTTTCTGTAGCCACTAGAGCTTGAATTGGATCCCCAGCCAGGGAGCTAACTTAACCACGTGGCCCATCAGACCTCTCGTGTTGTGCCACCCACTGCTCCCCTTAGCAGTCCACATGTTCTGCTCCTCACTGTCTCTGGTGAAACCTCTCATCCTACACCCAGTTCTTGTATGCATAAATATATTAAATCTCAAAAACAAAAATATTTACTTTGGACCATAAATTGTATAATTTTTAATATGTGAAAATGGAGTTGGTTAATTCTCAGATAGAAAATTAGTGTTTTGAGAACTACCCCTTGACAAGGAAAGGAAAATGGAGATCAAATTTAGAGCCAAGAGTGGCCCCTATTTATCAGCCAGCTTGCTTTCCCATTAACCATAAGAGAGTGAGTGACTTGTGAATAGCAAGCTGGTATGGTTGTAACCATGGATTTCATTAAAACTTGCTTTTCAACTTTTCTTACTACTAGTAAGATTTCCAGTTGATAAAATGGTAACTCATCACTAAATCCTTTCAGTTTTATTTACTAAACACTGAGCAGTCATTCTCTACTTCCGTTTCTGCTATCCCACCCTAGTCCAGCTTTCTATAATCTGTCTGATAGGGCAATGGCAGAACCATCTTGAATATTCAGTATGCCATATCCACTTTTACACTCTTCCAGTTCATTTTCTACACTATTCTAATTTGACTTTTTCAAAATGTGAATCTGGTTTTAGAAATCTGCCTAAAATCCCTTTGTAGTTTCCCATCTTTCATCATAAGCTATAAACCCACATCACCTAACTGATCGAAGCCCTATTTTCTTACAATCCATAGACCTTTTCATTCCTCTGATTCTCCATCAGCTCTTGCCACAGTTTTTCATTTGTTACAGTGTCTTTGCTTGTTAACTGCTAATTGATCCTGTAGATCTCAGTACACAAATCACTTCATTATACTTTTCCTGCCCTTCCATATTTAGAACAAAATTCCCCTTTTTTAATGTTAGCTCCTTTTATCTTTTCTTGTTGCACTAAGTACAATTAAAGCATTTCCTATATTTAATGAGTTATTTGATGAATGAGGGACAATGGTGAACTTCCTGTAATATCTCCAAAGTTCAGCGTGGGTCTGATAGGTAGTTTTTTTTCTCCCCAATACACATTAATGAATGAATCAATTTGCTTTGTTCAACCTTAAAAGCTTCTAAATCAGTCATTTAAAAAAATATAATTCTAAAGATGATTTTGTTTACTTAATCTTGAACTTTGTTCCACTTTAATTTTTTAGGATATCACTGCCATTGGGGACTTCAGTAAATGAATGTGACTTGTCCTTCTTGCTGTCTTAGTTTGGGAAATTATGAATTTTAGTTCATGTCTTTTTACTATAGCACAACTTGCCTTTCACTAGTGACATGTAAAATTTTGAATTTTTTTTTAAAGGTTTATTTTTATTTATGCAAACAAGAACTGATACAGGGGAGTGAGAGGATACACCAGAGACAAAGTGGGGAGCAGACCACTCAGATCTACTAAAATACTGCTGATCAGGGGAACAGCAGGCAGGTCAGGAGAGGTCGACCATTCAATGTGGGTCACTCCCCTGGCCAGGGATTGAACTCAGTGGTTGCGGATAGTTTCCTAGTGCCACCAGTGAGGGCTCCCAAATTTTGAATTTCTATATAAAAATTATTGAGAGAGTAAGCTTCTACAAAGAGGATTGAAATTACACTCAGTTTCTTTCTATTTTTTAAAAGCTGTATTCACTTAATGCATATAAGACTTGGGGTGTAGGCCACAGGTGTGGGAGGGGAGAGAATTCACCAGCTAGAGTAGGGAGCAGAACAGGTGGATCTACTGAAATATACTGCTGAGGGGAGCAGTGGACAAAACAGGAAGTCTACTGTGTCATGTGTATCAGCTCCCTGGCAGGGCACCAAACTCGTGCTGCAGTGGGTAGCAATAGCTTGATAGTGCTGTGTCTTTAATCCCTGTGCCACCAGGGAGGCCCTAGACTCAGTTTCTGATTCTGTGAGAAATTAGAAGAGATGAGAAAATAATGTGGAAATAATACTAAAATCACTTTTCCATTTGAATGAAAGAATGTCCTAAGTATAAATGTTGTATCTTAATGCACATGCATAAACTTGTTAATAGATAAAAATGAATTTGTTGAAGTAGTTGTTTTGGAGACTGAAGTATACTTTGTAGGAAAAGAATTAAGAGGGATGTTGCCTGTCTGGATTTGAGTTGCTATTACAAATACTAGAGACTGGATAGTTTCTAAGTAACAGAAATTGTATTTCTAAGGTTCTAGAGGTAGGAAGACTGAGATCGGTGTGCTAGCATGGTTGGCTTCTGATGAGGACTCTTCTTTTGGACTGCAGACTGCCAACTTCTTACTGTATCCTCATAAGGGAGAGAGTTAGCTATCTTTCTGGACTCCTTTTTATAAGGGCACTAATCCCATTCATAAGGGCTCCACTCGCATGATTTAATTACCCACTAGAGACTCTCATATCCAGATGCCATCACATTGGGGTTAGGGTGTCAATATGAGCTTTTGGGGGCCATTTACTTCTTTTTATTACCTGTTTATTTCTCAGCACATGTATGATTTATTGCCCAATGTACCCTTACATGCTGACACTTTGTAGTTTTGTGAAATGTTTGATAATTTGGCTTTAAAAAAAGGATGTATTCATGCATACAAGAACTGGGATGTAGACCAGAGGTATAGAGTGAGAGGACTCATCAGAGAAAAATAGGGAACAGAAAAGGTGGATCTATTGAAATATACTGCTGAGGGGAGCAGTGGGAGAGGTCTGCTGCACCATGTGGGTCAGCTCCCTACCTGGGGATGAAACTGATGCTGCAGTAGTTTGATAGTGCTGAGACTTAATGACTGTGTCAGCAGGAAGGCCCAATAATTTGACATTTTGACTGAAAAGTTTTTAAAACTTTTATAACTGAGTATTTTTCATTGAATTTCTTTAGTTCGAGGATCAGAAGGACTATATATGGTGAATGGACCACCACATTTTACAGAAAGCACTGTGTTTCAAAGGTATGTCTTATTTTATTGAGTGATGTTTGAGGGCAGTATGTAATAACATTCTGTTACTTTTATTATATTCTGAACAAGAAGGAAAAGAATAGAAAAGCTAGTTTCTTGGAACATTTTATATAATATTAATAGGGCATTTAGTAGATTCTTATTCTCTATCAAAAATGATCTTTAGATTTGAAAATAATAGCCTAAGCATGTTTAAAAGGTTGGGAGAATAATTCCAAGAAAAAGTGTGGACAAGAGTGTAATGAGTTCAAGCTTCAGGCTTAAGAATTTCATCTTAGAATGAAGAAAACCTTGTGAATATAATTACTAAACCACTGCCCACACACAGCCTTTCTGAAATCGGAATGAAAAGATCTAAAAGAGGAAGAAAATTTTAATATGTGTGTGTTTATATATGTCTGTATATATATTTATAAAAATACATATCTAGATTGATATTTTTTTTCTCCAAAGAAACAATGAAAAGGTAAATACAGAAATTAATAAAAGAGATTATACATAGGGGACAAGAGAGCAGCATGCAGGTAGCTTGTTGATGAATAAATTTTGATAATGTATAGTTTTGACTTTGAATCTTGTATTGTTTTATTAAAATGGAATAAAAGAAACCAAGTTTTACACTGAGTTGATGATATGAACTACATGATAGCATGCAAAAACTCTTAAATGTATTTTGTTAACAGAAAATCGATAGTTTGTATTTGTAGAATAAAATAGGTAATAATACTGATTTTTTAATAGATAAAATATTTTGGAAACTAATCACTTTGGAATTTTTTTTAATTTATGTAAGTTCTTATTAAGTTAGTACAACAGTGTATTTATTTTCAATAAGATTTTTAAAAAGTAAACACAAATGCCTAATATTTAAACTTTTTTTTTCTTGTTATTTTCAGAGAATCTGGAAAAAACTGTAAAGTCTATATCTTTAGTAAGGATGGAACCTTGTTTGCCTGGGGCAATGGAGAAAAGTTAGTGTTCATTTATATATCTGTGTGTGTGTGAGAGAGAGAGAAATGATGATGAAGAATATAAAACATATATATCTGTGTGTGTGTGTGAGAGAGAGAGAGAGAGAGAGAAATGATGATGAAGAATATAAAACATAGCTAGCCTTACTTGAATGATAAGTAGTTGACTGTCGTTAATAGTTTATTTTTTAATGTCATGATATAGTTGGAATATCTCCAACATAATTTTCATTCAGCATTTTTAAAGTATATCCCATGCTTTGTTTGCATTATTAGTTACTTAGAATTGAAAAATAGCATATACCAAAGGGCAACTAAATTAGTGCAGAACAGCCTGAGAGATTGTTTTAAATAGTGCTTTAAGTTACTAATTAAGATGTAAGTTCTGCATAAGGCTTAAAGAGTAGTTATCTTTGCTTGTTTACCTTAAATTCAGATACTTTATATTTTGCTGTTAAATTAGTAGAAACTTCTCCAGCTATTACTACTAAAGCTTTATTGCCTATAAAAGTATATCTTCTAAGTGTTGGTAAGTCATTCAAAAGTATGTGTAATGTGGTCTAAGTTATATAAACTAACCAAATTATAAAACTGGTCTTCTAAAAATAGAGTTATTAAGGAACTATATGAAAAGACATATTGTTATTAAAATATGTTTACCAAATGAAGGAGCAGTGTAATATATATTTTTTTTTAAAGATTTATTTAATTCATATAGAACTGGGGTACAGGCTAGAGATGCGGAGGGTGAGAGGATTCACCAGAGACAGAATGGGGAACAGAACAGGCAGATTGACGAAGTACACTGCTGAGGGGAGCCGCGGGCGGGTCAGGAGAGGTCTGCCACTCCATGTGGACTCCTCCGGGGCAGGTGGGAATCAAACTCATGAGGAAGTGGCTTAAGCTTCGTAGTGCAGTGCTTTAATCCGCTGCGCCACCCGGGAGGGCCCGCAGTGTAATATATTAAACAGTTATATCAATTCTGAAAACAGATATTGGAGAAAATGCATTTGTAGCAGTAGACTTCAATACCGTGCTTTCACCACTGGACAAATCAACTAGACAGAAAATGGAAGGCACAACAGCCTTAAAGAATTAGACCACATGACCCTATTTAGGCATATATAGGGCCTTGCACTCCCACAAAGCTGAATAAAAATTTTTTCTCAAGTACATTTCTAAAGGGCATTCTTCAGGATTGATGACATGGACACAAGTATCAACAAATTCATAAAGATTGAAATCATACTAATCATCATCTGTGACTACAATGAATTGGAAAGAAAGCAAGGAAACCTCTATAAGAGAGAGACTGTTTGGTGAATGAGGAAATCAGTGAAAAAAAATACCTAGAGACAAATGACAATGAGGACATGACCAATAGGGCACAGCAAAAGCAGTACTAAAAGGAAAGTATACAGATATGTTGTCCCACATCAAGAAGTAAGAAAATTCAAATAATCTTATCTCTCAACTCAAGAAACTAGAAAAAGGAGAATAAGTGAAACCAAAAGATAGAATAAAGGACATAATAAAAAATTAGAGCATAAATTAATTAAAAATTAAAAGAACATTCTAAAGACAAAATAAAGCCAGAAGCTGGTTGGTTCTTTGAAAAAATAAACATAATTGACATACTTTTAGTTAGATTCACCGCACACATAGGAAGAAAACTCAGAAATGAAAGAGTAGTTACACAGACACGATAGAAATTCAAAGGATAATAAGAGATTACTATGAACACTTAGATGCTAATAAGTTTCAATAACCAAGAAAAGATGGTTAAATTCTTGGAATTATTCCATAATCCAAGACTAAATAAGGAAGAAATGGAAAACCTGAATAGACTAGTCACAAGCAAGGAAATTGAAACTCACTCAAAAAACAAAAATCTAGGACCTGACTGTATCATAAGTAAGTTCTACCAAACCTTCAAAGGTGAACTTTACCTATCTTGTTCAAACGCTTTAAAAAAATTGAGAGCGAAGGCATATTTCCAAACAACTTTTTTTTCCTATTTGTATCTATATGTGAATTTTACATCAGTATTCATTTTTGTAAGTTTACTTTCATCTCTCAGGTGGAGTCCCCATAAAATTCACACAACAAAGTCTCCTGTGAACCCTCGCCATAGGCTTTTGGGCTCTTCCCACACTGTTTTTATTGCTCTCCCTGGTGAATGTTTCTGATTTATAGTTGCCTGTAGGTTTTTTCTCTTTTTTCTTTTCCCTGATTCCTTATTCCTATACTCCTCCTAGTAAATGAAACCAGTATTTTTCATTTACCTTCTGATTTATTTCACTGAGAATAATCTCCTCCAGCTCTATCCATGTTGTTGCAAATGGCATAAGTTTATCCTTTTTGATTGCTGAATAGTATTCCGTTGCACATTTACACCACATCTTATATACATGCAGTCTGTTTTGGGGCATTTAGTTTGATTCCATCTCTTAGCTATTTTAAATAATGCTGCAGTGAACATAGGAGTGCAGGTATTCCTTTGAGTTAATAACCTTTGTGTCCTTTGTGTAGATTCCTAGGAATAGAATTGTTGGATCATGGTATCTCCTTAGTAATTTGAGGAACCTCTACACTCCACACAGCTTTCCACAGTTATTGGACTAGTTTGTATTCTTACCAGTATAGAAGAGTCCCTTTTACTCAACATCCTCACTAGTATTTGTTGTATCTAGTTTTTTTAATATGGAGTATTCTGACTATTCTGACTGGTGTGAGGTGTTATTTCATTGTGGTTTTGATTTGCATTTTCCCCAATTGTAAGTGATGTGGAGGTTTTTTTTGTTTGTTTTCATATAACTGTTGGTCATTTGCATTTCCTCTTTGGAAAAATATCTCTTTAGCTCTTGACAGGATTGTTTGCTTTGTTTTTGTTGAGTCTTATGAGCAATTTATAGATCTTTGAAATCAGTCCCTTATTAGTTGCATGGAATCCTAAAATCTTCCCAATCAGTAGGGTATCTCTTTGTTTTGACTACTATCTCTTGATGCAAGAAGCTTTTTAGTTCGAAATAATCCCCATTGTTTATCTTTTTCTTCACTTTTTTTGCTTTGGGGGATGAGTTTGTATAGAGTTTTCTGAGATGTATATCATGGAGTAGTTTGCTTTTGTTTTCTTCTATACATTTAATGGTTTCAAATCTTTTATCCATTTTGAGTTGTGCATGGTGTGAGGTAGTGGTCTAGCTTCATTCTTTTGTATGTGATGGCCCATTTTTCTCAGCACCCATTTATTGAACAGATTATCTTTATTCTATTGCATATTCTTTGTTCCTTTGTTATAGATTAGTTGTCCATATACGTGTGGCTTTATTTCTGAGTTATTTCAATTCTATTGGTCTGTGGATCTGTTTATGTCCAGGACAATACTGCTTTAATTATTATGGCTTTGTAGTATTGTTTGAAGTTTGGGAGTGTAATGCCTCCATTCTCCTTTTGGCTATGAGGTTTTTGTTATTCCATATGAATTCCATCAGTATTTTTCTGTTTCTTTAAAGAATGACATTCAGATTTTTATAGGAATTGTTTTGAATCTATAAATTGCTTGTGGTAGGATGGCCACTTTGATAAAGTTATGAGTAGGGGATATCTTTCTGTTTGTGTCTTCTATTTCTTTTAACAATGTTTTATTAGAGTCTTTGTATAGGCCACTCACTTCCTTTGTTAGGTTTATTCCTAGGTATTTAATTTTGGAGGGGGGGGTACAATTGTGAAAGGGATGGTTTTTATTTTGTTTTGTTTTTAATTTCTTCTTCAGACTGGCTGTTTACATATAAGAAGGCAACTGATATATTTTTGTGTGTTGATTTTGTATCCTCTACCTTACTAAACTGATTTATTATTTTAATGAGCTTTTCTGCAGAGTTTCTAGGGTTCTCTATATATTATCTGCAAATAGTGATTTACTTCTCCCCATATTTGGATTCTTTGTATACACTGTCTTGCTTTATTGCTCTGAGTAGGACTTCCAGTATTAGTGGAAAAGCAGTAGTGAGGTGGACATCCTTGTCTTGTTCCAGGTCTTCACATGAAGGCTTTCAACTTCTCACCATTAAGAATTTTCTCAGCATCTACTGGCATGATCGCATGGTTTTTGTTTTTCTTTTTTTGATGTGTTGGATTACATTAATTGAATTTTGGATGTTGAACCATTCTTGTGCCCCTATAATAAATCCTACTTGGCTATGGTGTATCATCCTTTTGACACATTGTTGGATTCTTTTGCTAGATTTTATTGAGGATTTTTGCATTAGTGTTCATTAGGGAGACTGGCCTGTAGTTTTCTTTTTTTGTGTTGTCTTTGGTTTCAGTGTTAGTGTAATGTTGGCTTCAGAAAACATATTTGGTAGTATTCCTTCTTCCTTAATTTTTTAGAACAGTTTTTGTAGGGTAGGCACTAATTATCTTTGAACATTTGGTAGAACTCATTTGTCCCATTATGAGCTTTTGATTTTGGCTGATTTTGATTAGGTTTAATTTCATTGTGATTTTTTGTTTAGGTTTTCTATTTCTGCTTTATCCAGCTTACTTCCAAACAACTTTTATGAGGCTAACATTATTCTAATACCAAACCAGGCAAAGACAGAAAAAAGAAAAACTACGAATTTTCCTAATGAACAGATGCAAAATCCTCAATAAAATGTTAGCAAACAATATCCAATAGTACATTAAGAGTATTACACATCATGACCAAGGGGGGATTTATATGAGGGACACAAGTGTGGTTCAACATCTGAATATCAGCATAATTCAGCCTAGCAATGGAGGAAGATAAAAATATATGATGAAATCAGTAAAGATGCTAAGAAAGCACTTGTTAAGATTCAACATCATTTATGATGAAAACCCTTGAAAAACTGTGGATAAATGGAAATTCCTTCAACATAATAAAGGCCAATATGACAGGCCTACAGCTAACATCATTTTCAACAGTGAAATGCAGAAAGCCCGCAAGTATAAAACTAGTTAATTGCAAATCATGAGTGGTTTTATTTAGCTTTGTGTGTGTGTATGTGCACGCGTGTGAGCGATAAAGCTTTCCTAGTAGGCAGTTATTCCATTGAACAGTAAATTATGTAATAATTTATTTTGATGATGAAATTACTTCATTTCATTTTATTCATGGGTTTCAAGCTAGAGGGAAAGTTGTTTTAATCCAAATCTTTTGGTACAGGACAGGGATGTTCTTTCACTACTCTTACTCAACATAAAACTGGAAGTCCTAGCTAGAGTAATTAGGCAAGAGAAAGATATAAAAGGAATGCCAAATGGAAAGGAGTAAAGCCATCATTTGGAGACAACATAATCATTCATAATGATCCCTGAAGACTGTACTGAAAGACTAATTGAAACAATCAGTTCAGTAATGTGGCAGGTTGTGAAATCAATAAGCAAAAATCAGTGAATTTCCATATGCGAACAGTGAGGTAGAAGTAGAAATTAAGAAAAGAATCCCATGACAGTACATCAAAGGAAAAACACCTAACTCAAAACTAAATATGTAGGTGTAAATCTCACATAGTAGATAAAGGACCTATACAAAGAAAACTAAGTCATTGTTAAACAGAAGACACACAAAGAAACGGAAAGATATTCCTTGCTTTCCTTGCTCGTGGGTGGAATGATTAGCATTGTCAAAATGGCTGTCTTACCCAAAGGCTACAATTATATCTTCTAGGGGCTGCTTTTGAAAATTTAATTGACACCAGAAATCTCCTTGCTAATTTTCTTAGCTTGCTGAAGTTTCCGTTTACTCAAATTAAAAAATATGCTCCCCCCCCCCTTGGTTTAATGTAACTCTGCTTGTCTGTTGGTTAGCTTTGTCAGTTAAAGGTCTGCTGCTTTTCAGCTAAAGGTGAAAGCATCTGTTGTGACTTTCTAATTCTGTACTACACCAACCTCATATGCAGCCATTTGGTAAAATTGTAGACATTTTTTGAGTTAAGGTGTTTACTGGATATTATCTAAAACTAACTGAAAATTGATCTTTTTTTTTAAATGAACACTTTAGAGTGATCCATATTTGAAAAGAGATACTAATGTTTCGGATAGCACTGGTTATTGTAAAACGATTTTTCATTGCTGAAGTAATTTCTTTTGAAACCAGAGTAAATGTTATCAGTGTCACTAACAAGGGATTACTGCACTCCTTCGACCTCCCAAAGACAGTTTGCTTAGAGTTCTCGCCAAAAAACACTGTCCTGGCAACATGGCAGCCTTACACGAGTAAGTATTTTACAATTGTAAAAATATTCTGGCAGGACTAGTTAAGTGGAGGGAAAAGAAAAAGTTCTTAACCATGCAATAAAGTAATCTTAGTGATAATAAATAGTGTTTGTGAATATTTTTAATCAACAACCTTATAGGCTTCAAATACAATGTACTCTATAAATAATTTCAAAAGTCGGTAGCCAATGGATAAAGAAGGTATCAACATTAACAATAAAAATGATGTTCAAAAATTTATTTATATTATGATTATAAAAATGGAAGTATGGCAGACACAGCATCTAAGGAATGTGTATGGAATAACAGAATATAGGAAATGGTATGTCCTACTTTTTAAGATCTATAATACATATGAATATTTTATATAACTTTGATCAAAAGTGAGTAATAAAATATTGGCATATGGGCTTATTTTAAGAAATATTTTCTTTTTCAAAGATTGATTTATTTATGCATACAAGAACTGTGGTACATGCCAGAGGTACTGAGGGTGAGAGGATTCACTGAGACAGAGTGGGGAACAGAACAGGAGGATTGACCGAAATACACTGCTGAGGGGGAGCAGCAGGTGAGATAGGAGAGTTCTGCGTGCTATGTGGATCACATCACTAGCTGGGAATCAAGTTCCTGTTGCAGTGGGTATGGGTAGCTTCATAGTGCTGCGCCTTAACTTTTTGCACCACCAGGGAGGGTCCGTTATAAAAAAATATTTTCTAGCTATATAGGGTTGAGTAAATATGATAATACTTCATTTTTCAGTCATAAACATCCTGGGTTTGTTTATCCAAGAGGCATGTACTGTGATGAATTTTATATTTTCCAAGTATAAAACTTTAGTTAGTGCAAATCATGAGTGGTTTTATTTAGCTTCATGTGTGTTTGAGTGATAGACTTAGCTTTCCTAATAGGCAGTTATTCCATTGAATAGCAAAGTGATGTTAAACTAGTAAAAAATTTCAAGTATTCTTAAAATATGTAATAATTTATTTTGATGATGAATTACTTTATTTCACTTTACTCATGGGTTTAAAGCTAGAGGGAAAGTTGTTTTAATCCAAATCTTTTATTTGCTCTGTATAATCTTATTCAAAATTTTTATAAGAATGAATTTTGTTACTAGTGTTAGAGGCTAATTACTACCATAAAAATTTTGTTGTAGCGGCTAAAGATGGCACAGCTGGAATGCCCAACCTACAACTTTATGATGTGAAAACTGGTACATGTTTGAAGTCTTTCATCCAGAAAAAAATGCAAAATTGGTAAATAAATGCTTCAAATTACTATTTACAAAATAGTTTAAATATCTTTATTATGTAGTATTTATTTCTCTGATATTGGTTTAGAAAATAATGTCAGAACAAAATCTAGATCTCTCTGGATTTTTGTATATGTGAGTGTGAAGTTAGTTTTTTGTTTAGTATTTGAATGGAAAGGAACAATATTTTCCTATTAAGTAAATATGTTCAATAAAACTATTAATAACTGACAAGTTACTAATCGCATTTTAACTTATGATGTTCTGTCAAAATTTTTTACAAAATGTTTTCACTTTTCAATGTAGGTGTCCATCCTGGTCAGAAGATGAAACTATATGTGCCCGAAATGTTAACAATGAAGTTCACTTCTTTGAAAACAACAATTTTAGTATGGAAATATTTATGAAGTTATTTATGTAATTTATTTGCTATAAAATATAATTTGTGTTGATTTACATGGCATCATAGAATCTCCTAGTTATGGGGAATATATTAAGAATTGTTATATTCATTTGAATGACTCAGATCTAAAAGATAGTGAATTCTGTAACAAAGATTTTCTTTCTTTTTTTTTTTTTTTTTTTATTTATTTATTTATACAGAATTGGGTTGCAAGCCAGAGGTGCAGGGGCAGTGAGAGGTTTTACCAGAGACAGAGTGTGGAGCAGAACAGGCAGATCACGAAGTACACTGCTGAGGGGAACAGTTGGCAGGTCAGGAGAGGTCTGCCACGCCATATGGGTCACCTCCGGGGCCAGGGATTGAACTCGTACTGTAGTGGCTGGTGCCAGCTTGCAGTACTGCATCCTAACCCATTACACCACCAGGGAAGGCCCAACATTTTCTTTTATAATAGCTTTACTATTTGGTGGTTGCTATTAAATGAAGACATTCTAATACCTATTTCTAGTTTAAGTACTATTGAAATTCTCTGACACAATTCTTAAAATGTTATATTGTAAAGAATTTCAAACACAAAAATAGACACCTAGTCCCTGTAACCATTTACCTGCAACCAATCCCACCTCATTTGTAAATATCCATCTGCCATCTCTTATTCTACACTAAAGTAAATGCCAGACATCATGTAATTTGCCTGTAAATATTTCATGATACATCTCTGAAGATTAGGAGTCTAATCTAAATGTAGACTTCCCCCCCACTTCAGTTATTGTTGCCATAGTGCGCCTACCACCAAGAGCCCTCTACTCCACTACCATATAATCTAATGCTGCCTGCTTTGCTTTTTGATTTTGATCCTCCCCCCGATTATAAATTCTAATAATTGCAAATGTTACCTTTCTTTTTTTGAAAGCTCAGGACTCAAATAAGGTCCTTCACATGTAATTGAATAATAATTGTTTTCCTCATTAAGCTTTGATTTAATGGTTCTCAAAAAATCTGTGATAGATTTTTGTCAAATTGTTTACAATACAAATTACTGATTGAAAAATTAATAATTTGAAATTTTCACAAACAACAAAAGACTTAAGTGGTCTACGACACCTTCTCCTTCCCTTCTAAAGATTTTATAATGCTTTGTTATCAGTCAGCCTTTTGGTATTAAACTTAAATGGTTGATTGAGATGAACAGTTTGAGACCATTCTTTTTTTTTTTAATTTTATTTTATTATTATTTTTTTAGATTTATTCATACAGAGCTGGGGTACAAGCCAAAGGTGCAGGGGTGGTGAGAGGCTTCACCAGAGACAGAACAGGGAACAGAACAGGCAGGTTGACGAAGCAGGAGAGCAGCGGGTGGGTCAGGAGAGGTCTGCCTTGCCATGTGGTCACCTCCAGGGCAGTGGATCGAACTCACACTGAATTGGTTGCGGCCAGCTTGCAGTGCTGCGTCCTAACCCATTGTGCCACGAAGGAGGGTCTTGAGACCTTTCTTCATCACTGATTAAGACTTGGATGGCAGATATTGGGGGTCATATTTAGCATTCTGAGCTTGCCTGGCAAATTTAGTGACCTTGTCACTTCCAACTACCTTATTATATACTGCTTTGATGATGCCCACAGCAACTGCCTTCCTCATGTCATAAACAACAAAATGACCCAGAAGTGGGTAGTTAGAGAACCTTACAGAATACATGGGCTTGCCAGAAGCCACATTAACTATGGTAGCATCACTAGGTTTCAACAATTTAGGGGCCGTATTCCAGATTTTTTCTCCAGAATAACAATCTTCTGCTCAACAAACTTGCAAGCAATATGTGACAGCCCACACAGATACATTTCCAGAACAGATTTGGCTGGGATGGTTTAGAAGAATCATCAGAGCTAGTAACTAGTAGCTTCCATTGATGGCTCATTTTTGCTGTCACCAGCCATATTGCCACCATAAACATCTTTGACAGCCACATTCTTGACATTGAAGTCCACATTGTTCCTAAGAAGAGCTTCATTCAGAACTTCATGGTGATACCAGTGATACCTATACTAATTATATAGGGACGGCATAATTTTTGTTCCCTTCATCACCTTTAATAAGTTCTTTCTCTTGTAATCTTCATCGCAGCCATATGGATTTAAACATACGTGATGTGTTCAATCCATTGTAATAATTATTATTATTATTGATGCCCAGGTATTCTATCCTTGGTCAATTAGTCTTTAATGCTTCTCTATTTGCATATTAAACTAGTCAGTCGAGATTATCTTGTATGTGTTCTACCTTATACTGAGAATCAGCCAATTCTCCAAGACTGGTTCTTTTTTTTTTTTAAAGATTTATTTATTTATTCGTACAGAACTGGGGTACAGGCCAGAGATGCGGAGGGTGAGAGGATTCACCAGGGACAGAGCGGGAAGCAGAACAGGCAGATCGACGAAGTACACTGCTGAGGGGAGCAGCGGGCGGGTCAGGAGAGGTCTGCCACGCCATGTGGTCACCTCCAGCGCAGGCGGGGATCGAACTCATGCAGAGGTGGCTTTAGTTTCTCAGTGCAGTGCTTTAACCCGCTGCGCCACAAGGGAGGGCCAAGACTGGTTCTTTTTAATGGAAAATAGTATTTAGCAACCACAGTCTGAGTGTAAGCAATTATCATTGCTACTCACTAATCATTGTTTCTACAGCCTTTTACATTCTTCTTTCTGTTACATCTGTTTTACCTCTTGCTAAAACCAACAATCCAGATTTTCTGGGATGCCAGGGATAATAGTTAATTATCCATATGCTGTATCCTACATTAATCATATAGCTTTCTTACAATAGCAAAACCAACAGGAACAACATAATTACCAAAATAATTTGAAAGAAAAATGTTTGCAGTTCCTTTTGTCCTCACAATATCCCATTCTGAGCACGTTAGAATAGAATAGGAGTTGATAACTGCTAACATTTACCAAAAGTGGTGGTAGGCTGATTTGATTTGAGCACCTATCACATAATCATTATAACTGTATACTTCATTTTCCTCTTTTGAGATTCATTCCTGCCCTACTGATTTTATTCTACTTGACTTCTTTTTGAGCATGCAAAAAGGACTGCTAATTTGGCAATTTGGTGTGCTACATTTGAACAGCTATCCATCTCCAAAATTGAACAAAGGAAGAGTGATAGCTCTTGATTCCATTAGCTGGGAAGCAGTATTGTTCATAACATGAATTTTGACTGACTACCTGGCACAGAGTAATCACTCAGTAAAGACCAACTGATGTTACTATTGTTGTAACCGTCACTATTAATTTATGTACTTATGAAGAATTTCCCTGTCTACATTCTATAAGTAGCAGCTTAGGGTCATCTGTCCCAGCTAAAAGACTCTATGACAACTTACTTCATAGACTAAAGAGAACAAAACTGACATTTATTGAATACTTACAGTGTTCTTGGCACTGTACTTAAAGCCACTACTAGGATGTAGGTATATAATCCCATTACTTGTCCAGGGTCATATAGCTAGTGAGTAAGGAAGAATTCAAGTAGGTCTGTCTTCATCTCAACTTTTCCATTGTGGTGCTTTGTCTCATGCAACTATAATGAGGAATATTAATAAATACAGTTACATTAACCTTTTATAATTCATTCAGGACTTAATATATGCCTAATGGCTTCTCTTATTAATCTAACACCATTTACTTTTTTTCAAGGCACCATTGCAAACAAACTGCATTTGCAAAAAATTAATGATTTTGTATTATCACCTGGACCTCAACCATACAAGGTAATTGCTGTTTTTATTTATTCATGTGGAATATTATGAAAGTAAACCTTTTCCATTTTTTAGTGACTATAAGAACTTGTCTATTTTAGTTAATATGCTTAAAAAAACCTAATGTTTCATATCTGTATATCTTAGGTGTCTGTCTATGTTCCAGGAAGTAAAGGTGCACCTTCGTTTGTTAGGTTATATCAGTACCCCAACTTTGATGGGCCTCATGCAGCTTTAGCCAATAAAAGTTTTTTTAAGGCGGATAAAGTTACAATGCTATGGAATAAAAAAGGTATGATAAATATTTTATCTTTATTTTGCTTATCAAATATTAATCTAGACTAATGTTCCTATGTGTTGAGAAAAGAGTTTCATTGCTTACTTAGTGAAAATTTACATGTGCTCTCTTACATTTGTTAGTATTTTTGTTACCACTATTAGGTTACTTTGTGTTTTAAGTCTAATTAAAGTTTTACTATTAACAGCTACTGCTGTGCTGGTAATAGCTAGTACAGAGGTTGACAAGACAGGAGCTTCTTATTATGGAGAACAAACACTGCACTACATCGCAACAAATGGAGAAAGTGCTGTCGTACAATTACGTGAGTGTTCTAGCATGTCTTCCTTTTTTTAAAAAAACAATGTTAGCAAAAAATATTTAAGCCATAAAGATGATATGATCTAAAATCTTGTTTACGTACTAGAACTCATGTAATAACCTTTAAAGATAAAATTTCTCTTAACTAAAAAAGTCATCCCCAAATATATCTTAGTCAGATAGCAACTTGATTTAGGAAGTTTAACATGCTTTAGAACTGAAAAAAGTTACCATTTCATCTTTTAGTACAAAATAATAGTTTTGAAATTCTGGTAACTCCCTGATTTTTGCATTTTAGATATATGAAAATAAGGTAAACCTTTTCATTACAAAACATTGTGTATTCCCAGTAAAGTTAGAAACAATGCAGTGATGACTGCTTTCCACCGTTGTTTAACATTCTGAAAGACTTGATTTAGCTAATTTAAAAAGTGTATATTTTTGAAGGAGAATCATCTCTGTGCATAGATGGTGTCACAGAAAAAGCAATAACTATTTAAAAATATATCAAAGGAAACAGTACATATAAGACAATAAAAAATATATGCAACTGATGGAAAGGAAACTTTTAAAATTTATATGAGACAAATGATAACCTTTTGAGAATTATAAAGAAGTTTGGTTTTGGCTTATGGATAGACAGATTGAATTAATAGAATGGAATCCCAATTAATCCATACTTCCATAGCCATTGATACATAAAGTCAGCATCTGAATCAAGAGGGGGGGACATACTGAACATTTAATATATAGTGTGGGAACAACTGGTTCACTATTTGGAACAAAAAGTTAATATTGCTACTTGACCAAAATAAATCCATTTGCACCAAAAAATTGTACATACAACTATAGAACTAGCCAAAAATATGGGAGAATTTTTCCCTTAATCTTAAAGTAGGGAAATCTTAAAAGTGGGATATTTTTTCTAATTCTAAAGGGAGAAAAATAAGGGAAAAGTATAAATTTGAATGTATGAAAACTGGAGGAGTCAAGTAAGATTGTGACAGAGTGAAGATGCCAGACTCACCCCCTGCATAACCTCACAATTAAATTGCAATAGAACAAAATCAGTGGCCCTGAAAAAAAAATTATAGCTACAGTGTACTTGAGAAACCACGCTCTATAGAAAAGGCATAGTAAAAACTTGGATTAAACTGTGTTAACAGTGATACTAGGGAAGTAGAACCCTCAAATGGGAGGAGCAGCTTCTATGCCTAGGTGTCCCTACACATAGTGATGCAGTGGTTCATGCCTTCGTCACTTTGGATATCTAGCACTGTGGTAGGTGCATAGAATTGGCATTTGGGAAGGAAGTTGGAACTATTGAGTAACTATAGGAACAGGTATGCAGAATAGTGATTACTGACCTGAGCCAGAAGCTCCCAATATAGAACAGCAGGAGCCCAAACCAGATTGGATCACCTATGTCTCCTCATAGAGGAGGCTATTACTTGAAGCCCAAAGAAAGGATTTTCAGAACACCCGCCACCTTCTCTACCCAGGACTGACACTGAGAAAACAAATGTTCCTTAATCAGGGTATTTAAGCAATTGTCTTAAAGAGCAAAAACGCTTCTCTAAATGGAAAAGAAAAGAGAACAACTCCTACTTTGTGAACCTGTGTTAATTATAGTCTGTGCCCAATGCTATATCTAGTACCCAAATATAGCCTAAAGTTGGAAACTGACATGAGACACTTAAACTGAGGAGGGCCTAACAGAAGGGGAGTGCTTTAGATTCCCATCACATAATTCTATACCTGCAATATGTAGGAAGCTTATTTAAGTCCCTGATGCTCACTAAAGTTGACCTTTTGGTACACTAACTGTCCTGGTTTCTTTCTCCCTTTTACCTCTTGCCTCTTGCCAGTACTAGGTTTCTGATCACCTCAACTAATGCATAGGCAACAGTCTGAAAGTCTGTCTCAATAAAAACCAGTGCTTTAGGACACGACTAAAGAGGAGTTGAAGCTAATGGTTATAACCGTGCTCATGGAACTCCAAAAAACAGCAGATAGAGACAGCAGATAGAGGAAACAAGAACAAAATTAAAAACTAAGAATATATGAGACAACTACAACTAAAAGTAATAATCTCAGAAATACTATAACTGAATTAAAAAATACAGTTGTGGGGCTCAAAATGAACACATGCAAATAATGGAGAGAATTAGTAAGCATAAAAGCATGAAGCAGAGCACAAATAGAACAAAGAAAAAAGAATTTAATAATGAAAATAGTATGAGGTTCTTGGGGATAGCCTAAAGAGAAATAATGTCCATATCATGGGGATCCCAAAAGGATAAGGAAAAGAAAAAAGTATAGAAAAATCTATTTAAAGAATTTTAGCAAGCCATCTTAATCTGGAAAATGAACCATATATTATGTTCCAAGAAGCCCAGAGAGATCCAAACAAAATGCCAGACATAGACGAAGACACATCATAATAAAACTTGATAGTCAATGACAAGGATGAAATACTAGAAAACAAGATTGGTGAATATGAAAGCGTGGAACTATAAAGTATGAATCAACATGAGGAGAAAATCTCGTCTACAAAAATATTGCCAGTGTAAATGGGTAAAACTTCTTTGAATGATATTTTAGTGGTATGTTATCAAGAAAATTTATGTGCGCTTTAAACCAGCAGTTTTGCTGCTACAATTGTACTGTGTACTCACAGTGGAAGGGGCTACCTATGCAGCATGGTTAGTAGTGGAATGCAGTGCAGCTGAAAAGGAGAAAGACCTGCTTATATCGGAAAACCTCCAAACTGGACTATTAAATAAAGCACCAAAGATCTAGAACTTTGTTTTGTGTATTTAAGAGAAAGATGCTTAATTTAACATAAATAATCTGAAAGGCTATGCAAAATGTAACTGAAAGTTACCTTGTGTTTGTCTTTTTACATAGTTATATTTATTATAATATTTTAAATATAATTAAAATTATATTTTTAATTTTACTATAATGTACACATATTTGTTACCTCTACCCATAAAAACTAGTTTTGTCTGTTAATGTTAACAACCTCTCCTACAAACCTGCTTTGCCAAAATGTTCATAAAAAATTAAGAATTATTCATGATTCTTAAATTTATGATTATATATTCCTTGGTATTTTATGTAAAAATATTTTAGTATTAATGTGAAATTTTAAATTATTGGATTTATTTTTTCTGTATGATAGTGTATAGTTCTTTATTGCTAATTTGGGTTTATGTGTCTTTTTTTTTTTTTTTGTAGCAAAAAATGGCCCCATTTATGATGTAGCTTGGAATTCTAGTTCTACTGAGTTTTGTGCTGTGTATGGTTTTATGCCTGCTAAAGCAACCATTTTCAACTTGAAATGTGATCCTGTGTTTGACTTTGGAACTGGTCCTCGTAATGCAGCCTACTATAGCCCTCATGGACATATATTAGTCTTAGCTGGATTTGGGAATCTGAGGGGACAAATGGAAGTATGGGATGTTAAAAACTACAAACTTATTTCTAAACCAGTGGCTTCAGATTCTACGTATTTTGCTTGGTGCCCAGATGGTGAGCATATTTTGACAGCCACGTGTGCTCCCAGGTTGCGTGTTAATAACGGGTACAAGATTTGGCATTATACTGGCTCTGTCTTGCACAAGTACGATGTGCCATCAAATGCAGAATTATGGCAGGTTTCTTGGCAGCCATTTTTAGATGGAATATTTCCAGCAAAAACAATAACTTACCATCCAGTTCCAAGTGACGTGCCCAGTGAAGAACCTAAGGTTGCAACAGCATATAGACCCCCAGCTTTAAGGAATAAACCAATCACCAATTCTAAACTGGTATGTAAAGTTTTGTTGCTTTGGTCAGAAATTATTTTTCAGTGTGTGGAGTTCTCGAGGCTTGTTTATTATACATGTTCTTGTGTTTCTTAGTAATAGTGTTACAGGGCAGAGAGAGGGGCACCCCAAAATCCCGAACCTGCTCGCTCTAAATATGTTCTGCCATCACTGCATCAAGACAAAATATACATAATGGAAAAGATCTTTAATACAATTATTATACAACAAAGAGAAAGGAAAAATAGTTTCCAAGTCAAGTACCCAAAGTTACCTGTCCACTGTAGGTAAATGCACAGAAAACTAGGGTTGGCCCAAAGGAGGAGGAAGGCCTAAAAGGTTGTCATGAGTCTAATCCCCATAGGAAAGGGACAGAAGGGGCCAGACAAGTCTGTAAGGAAAAGAGCAACATCAAAATGCTGCCATTGTTAACCTCTGTATGTTTCAACCAGGTCTCTCATCTTTATTTTTCAACCAGTTCAAGACCAAGAAAAAAGTGTAGCTTCTTGACATGTCTCTCTGCTCCATGTGCCTCCTCCAGGTCACCTTGCTCTCTGTCTTGCTTCCTTCTCCAATCTCCTCTCCAGCTTCTTCTCCTTTCCCTGCTCAGTTCCATCCCTCCTTGGGTGGGGCAGGAAACCTAGAACCTCCCCTTTTCTTGGGGACTACCCTGTTAAAACAGTAAGAAATAAACTCTAGGGTAGAAATCATGGAGAATCTACTACTGAAAGTGGTGAGAAGCTAATACTAATTTGCCAAAGTAGCTGATTTGAAACATTTCACATTTTAAGTTTCTGAGGAAGCTAACAGAATTGCTATATTTGCATCCCAGTTCTGTATACATAAATGAACCTTTACAAAAAAAATTTACTTTGAAAAAAAAGTCTTGCCCTCCAAATTTGTCTGTTCTGTAGTTGTGCATTGTTATGCATTCTTTGTTTCAAGTAGAGTGTATACCCACAGAACTCGATAGTTACTTCATAGCTTCTTAATTACTATTATTCCTCTTATTTGAATCTTACCAATTTCCTATGTGCTTAATGAATACAGTACATTTGTAAGGTTTAGTACTCAAGAAACTTCATTGGCTTCTTTTGATGTACTGAGTATGAGAAAATCTTAGCGATAGTAACACTAAGAAAATAGCAGTATGGAGAAAAATTAATAAGGAGATGAATCTGATAAGTTGTATATGTTATATGCTACCTGAAGCTACTCTGCAGATAACTTGAACTAACACTTTTGTTTTTTCAGGTTTACTGAGATATAAATGACATGTAAAATAGTAAGATACTGAAAATGTACATCACCATAATTTGATACACATATACATTGTGAAAGGATTCCCTCCAGATAGTTAATCAAGACATACATTACCCAACAGATTTTTTGCGTGTGTGACCCTGTACTTAATTTGACCTTTTTCTGTTGTGGAATATAGTTTATAGATGGGTTCTATCAATAACAGATGATGAGAATGATTGGTCTCATTGTATGATATATCTGAGTATTATGTTCATCATGATTTCTTAGTTGCAGGTATTTTATTTGATTAGATTTTACTTATTTATGATAGTCTATTTTAGTTTTCTCAACTTGTTTTTATTCTAAAATTTTCTGATCTCTTATTTTACAACTAAAGAGCTAACATAACAAAAACAAATGACTTTGAGTAGTCAGATACAAAGGAAGTCAGAAGAAGCTATCATTGGTATCTACTTTACTAAGAATCATGTGTTAGTAGTAGTAAGAAAATTCTGTTGTTTAAACAAAAGTGAAACAAAAGTAAAAGTAAAGTGAATTAAACAAAAGTCCAGCACTTATAGAATTGAAAGATATGTATTACATATATGTGTAGTACACATATATATCGTATCCTTATTAAATCTATCCTGACTTTCCAGTGTGCCTACTACTGAGAGTTTGTAGTATGCTTTGGCAGTGATCTTAAAATAAATTTGATATGTTTATTCCATACTACCAAAAATACATAATTTGATGTGTACGCTTTTAAAAATTCCAAAATTATGTATTTTATATTTTTCATAGCACGAGGAGGAACCACCTCAAAATATGAAACCACAACCAGGAAAAGATAAGCCCTTATCAAAAACAGCTCTTAAAAATCAAAGAAAACATGAGGCAAAGAAAGCGGCAAAGCAGGTATTTGGAGAACTAATTGCTATTAGGGAATTAGATTTAAATACCTAGAATGTCTTTCTTTTGTTTTTGCCTATAAGTTTCTAAATAATCATGTATATATACATACTGATTTTGTATACATACATACTGTGTGTGTGTAAGGGGTTGGGGCTGGGACCTGTGGAAACTATCTGACCTTAAAACCAGAAACTAATGGGATTATGTAGTATGTTACTTGCTATAGACCCTTTTGGTGGAACCTGTGTCAAGTGGTATATGTTTTCTTGGAAACAGGATTTTTTGAAAGACTGGAAATTTCATGATGGTAGGTTATTACTATAAAATTATTCAACTGGGAATCTAAATCCAATAATGCCCAAACAATGGATTAGTCTAAAATATTCTTGTACATGACCTAGTGGAAAAAAACATACCAGTATAATCACTGACAAATTGTCGTTGTGTGTGGCGATACTGAGATGAGTAGTACTGTTTAGAAGTCATGTATAACATGGTGGTTATGTAATTTGTAATTTGAGAGTCAGGCAGTTTTTCTTGTTGGTAATGCTTAGATTTTGACATTTCTGGGTTGTTTCTGTGTTTTAGTATGCAGTTCCTATTTTAAGGTTTAGAATTACTTTATACAAGCATATTCTGCTGAAATCTGGGCTTTCAAGGAAATCATTGTTATCCCTGGAAATCATTCTTAAATAATTCAGGTTTATGTCACTCCAAGTATAATGATCTACTCTATTAGATTTGTATAAAAATAGGACTTGTTCTTTCATCATTGTGTATAGAGACCTATGCCTGCCCTGAATATTAAAAGTTAATAGTATCCTTGTAAGATTCCTTTTTGTAAGGGGAGGAGGAGGAGTTAATATTTCAGGTATAATAGACAAGATTATTGTAATTTGAGATATATTGTGAAAGTATTCTCACTAATAGTTGATTAGCATATTCTACATATGTACTTTTTTTTGATGCTAAGAACTTTTAAGTTCTATCCTTAGCAAATTACAAATTACATAATCAGCATGTTATACATTAGTTCCTCAGATCCGTTACTTAGATGAGATAACTGAGAGTTGTATCCTTTTACCAACCTTTCCCTATTTCCTCCATCCCCAGCAATAATCACCATTTTATTCTGTTTCTGTGTTTGAATCCTTTTTTTTTTTTTTTCTTTTAAGCACCAAAATACATTAGGGTTATTTGCACATATATATTATATCCCTAAAAAAAGAATCTAGTATTTTCTCACCTGTGTGTTTTCATCTTATTGCTGCTTTTTCTTCTTGCCAACATGGTTGTCACTGCAGTGAAACCAAATTGATGCTCTGGGAACAGATTATTCTACATTTTTCTAGATTTTTGAGTTGTGCATCAAATAAGGTACTGAAAACTATTACTTTTTTAACCTGCCTGTGAGGTTCACAGTAATTTTTCCATCTCTGTAATCATCAGTGGCTTCAAATTAGCTAATGTAAATAAACTATGCGTCATCATTAGAAAATGGATTATGATGTTGGAGCACAGCTTTATAAAAACCTGGCTGTTGTCTCTCTTTCTGGCATCATTGATACTCTTGAGAGGATCAGCCACGGCATTTATGTGCATCATTGTGGCAACACAGAAAGATGGTAAAAAGAACTTTGTTAAGATTCCACGTGTAAGGTACAATATTTATCTTACCAGTCTAACTTTTTTTTTTTTTTTAGCATTATGCCCTTCCCATTTGTCCTGATGCAATTAGCAGGATTCCCCTTTTTGCCTTTTTGTGACTGAATACTACCCCTGTGTGTTTATGCCCATACACGTATACACATGTTAGCTCACATACACGTATACACATGTTAGCTCACACCTCACACCTTTTTAATCCTTTCCTCCATTGATGGACACTTAGGTTGTTTATGTACGTAGGCTATTGTGGATGATGCTGCAGTGAATATGAGAGTAAAGTTATCTCTGTAATAATGATTTCATATGTATATGAAATGATATATAAAGAGAAAGATAAATACACACAGAAAAGTGGGATATCAGGATCATATGGCAATTCTATTTTTTAATTTCTTAAGGAATCTTCATATTGTTTGTATAGTTCCATATTGACTGCACAACATTCCTTCTCATTATGATTAAAGGTCTTTTGAGACCTACTCACCTTAGAATCCTGTTTTTATAAGTGATGTTTCTTTCTGTTTATCAGAAGATATTTTTAATATGACCACTTCTGGTACTGAACAAGATCTCTTTCATAAAATATAATAGTTGTTTATTTTGTGTTTTTCTGATGTTAAAGCACATAAATTTAGAAAGGCTTATAAAATCAGTATGTTTTATTTAGAAAAACCAATTTTAAAGTTTTTTTATAGAAATATTTGTGGCTCTTTTGGAGAGAAAAAATCAGTTTATGTAAAACATGTTACTTATTGAAATTCTCAACCCACCCTACATAACCATACAGTTACCCATTGGTGTTGATTATTAAAGACACTACTAATTTATCATTATGTAGTTATACTTTGCTTGTTTTCCCAATAATGCCAAGGTAGTCCTATAATATGCATTTTTTAGAGTGCTGGCTCTTTAGTAAGTTACGACTATGTGATAAAACAAAGTTAGATTGGCCTGTGACATGATCTTACCTGGACCAGACCAGAAAGTTAATATTTGCAAACCTGACTCCAAATTAAGTAACCAAAGGAGTCAAATGTGTGTATATTCTACCCAACTACTTTCATAAACTGGTGATAATTTTGTAGGTGTGTTCACCTTAACAAAGAGTTTACACATCTGATATTAAAAATTACTTTTGTTAGAAAAATTTTCTTTTGTCTCCATTGTACCCATGCTCTGCCTTTAATTTTAGATTATGAAAAATACCAGAAGTATTCTCAAAATTTATAGTGTCCTTAAGAGTAGAACCTAAAACTCTCTTTCTGAATCTATTAGATTTTGAAATCTTGAACCTCTATCTCAGATTTTGAAACCTGGGAACTCTCTAAGTGAGAAATAAATAAAAATCTTTGCCTCCCTCTTGTTGTATAGAACATCTTATCGTAATTACAAAGGGCAGGTGATTCTTTCGCTCTTTCATAAAGAATTTATTATGCTGGGGCATAATCAGAACAGTGAACAATGAAACTTAAAAGGTAGTCTAATAGGGAATAGTAAAATGCAGTTAAGTGTTAGCAGTAGTGATATATATATTACCTGTCATACAACTAGTCCAGTCTCAGTGTGGGGTAATTTTCCAGGTGTAAAGGGTAAGCGGGGGCCATCCAAGATGATCTGAGGTGTTTAGGAAGAACAGTACACACAAAGGGTAGGAAACAAGTGTGTAGTACATTAAGGGAAATAAAAGTGGTTCAGAGTCAGTTGTTCTTCAGTAAGGTGGGATGCGATTACAGAGGTTATCATAAAATATAAATGATACCATGATAATATGGTAGCTCTATTTTTTAATTTCTTGCTGAACCTTCATATTGTTTCTGTAGTTTATAGTGATATGATGGGAAGCAATATAGCATCTCGTTAGACCAAAATTTTTATGGCACTATATTAAAGCTATGAATTGATCATATTATAATGAATTTCTATAGGACATTTATCCTACAGCATCATCTATTTCATGTACTTCACCGTACTTACTTACTCACTTTAGTTTTGGAGGATATCACAAGAGAAAACTTTCCATTTCCAAACCATTCATATAGTGGTACATCTCAAAATATCCAAAAGTTTGAAATGCCTGTTGGCTAATGCAGAAATCTAATTTACTCAGCTGCTCTGCTAAGGTCATTTCCTTGGTATTTTATTATGGTACACATTTTTATTTTACTGAAGTTATTTTAACTTTAAATTCTAGACCTAGCAAAGTATACCTTATGACAGTTACATAGTAAAAACCTTTTGTATGTCTCATACTGTGATCCTTTAAAGCTGCTTTGTTTCTGTTAAGGGCAATATGGCATATTTCATGAGACTTTAAAATAAAATACAGCATAAAACAAAATCAAATGTTTAATTTTTGCATTTTAGATACCACTGCTATGCTTTTTAAAATATTTTAATATTTTCATTTTAGAAAATTGAAATTTTGAAAATATTTCCTGCAGGAAGCAAGAAGTGACAAGAGCCCAGATTTGGCATCTACTCCTGTCCCACAGAACACAGCACAAAATACTATTTCTCAGTCAACTTCTGGAGATCCTGATATAGACAAAAAAATAAAAAATCTAAAGAAGGTAAGAAACCTAAAGTGCAAAAGTAATATGATTACAGTGTTATGTAGATGTCTAAGAAATTTATAGCAGAATCTCATTGCTGCTTTTGTAGTATGAAATAGTGTATCAGAAAGGGCACTGGTTTTATTTCTGCTGGAAAACACCTAGAGACTGTTAGTTTTTATTATTGACTTTTGGAATAATAAGTAATGAACACTTGTACGGAGATATATTGAACACTTATACTCATAATTGCATTAGACAATTGTAAGATATATAGAAGCAGATAATTATACCAGTTTTAAAGATGAAGAAACAGACACAAAAAGTTCTTTAACTTGTCAAATTGTAAGCACTTTGTAGTAGTCACCATGGAAGTAAAAAGTTTCTAGAGCTCCTCCCAGGCTGCACTATGAAGTTTCTCTTAAAGATATCTTCCAAGCGCAATGAGGTGCTGAGTAAATGATAAATTGATGATATGATTTATTTACCTACACTTGCATGCACACATATATGTATGTGCATGTCTAACAATTAAAAGCTCAAAAAAGTTTTGCTAAGTCTCATGTTTTTAACATGACTACTTTTACATTTAACTTTAAAAATAAGTTTACCTTCATAATTCTAAGACTATGCTAGATATATATGTGGGATAATTGATTTCAGCTTACTCAAATTTCACATTCCTATGTGTTATTTGTTAACACTTGTTAAAAGAATATCTGCATTTTAAAATGACTTGTTTTTTCGTTTCTTGACTCATAATGTATTTCATGTTTACAGAAACTGAAAGCAATTGAGCAACTGAAAGAACAAGCAGCCACAGGAAAACAGCTAGAAAAAAATCAGGTCTTTTTTGTATTTTTTTACTTGGGTTCATAGTCACTACCATCCTTTCCCTTTTTTACTTAAAAGAATTATTCAATCAGGTGAAAGAACATAGACTTAAACTGCCTCCTTTTGAAAATTATGTGTCTTTTTTCTTTTAATGTTTTTAGTAGTAAACTAAAAGGAGATTGGGGAGGACATGATGTAGATCATAGTGAGAGAAAGTCATTCTTCTAAGAGGTACCCATGTTACTGCTGCTGAAAATAAAGGCAGTTTGTTATGTTAGACAAACATAGCTTTCTTCCTTCCCGTATCTGCAGTTGCACTGCCTTGTTTCCTCCTCTCATCAGCACTTCCAAGGTCAAGTATAGAATAGAAAACTTATTGGAACAGAAAGGATACAGTAAGACAGGTTCTTGCCCATTACCCCTTTTATTCATACTAGATAACAGATTAAAACTTGTTTCTAATCTGTACTTTTTTAACCTGTATTTACCATTGTATCTGAAAAGCATCAGAATTATTTTTTTATTTCTCCTTTTCTATTTTTGCTTTATAGCCAATAATTTCATTTTCTATCTAATAACTATTGTTTTAAACTTTTATAGTTGGAGAAAATTCAAAAGGAAAAAGCCCTTCTTCAGGAGCTGGAAGATCTGGAGTTGGGTATTTAAAGATTCACAGACAGCAAAGTTGGTTACCAGAAATCAGTGCAAACACATATTCTGTTATACCCATTGGTGTACCAGTAATATCCATATGTCCACAACTAATCTGTAATTTTAACTCTTTAAGATTCTACAGTGTGAAATTTATTTAATAATGCCTGTTAAACTGATTTTTCCAGCTTGTGTCCTGCATTAATGTATACACAGGGTATAATAAAGAAACTTGGGTTGCTTTTTAGTTTTAACTTGATATATAAAAAGTCAGATGTTTTTTAGTAGGGGGCAGAATTTACCATATAAATAAAGGCATTTTAAATTTAAATTTTTTTGTTAAATGTGTAGTACAGTTTTCATGATCCTAAATTATTATTGTTAAAAAAGCCTTAAAAATAGGTTATGGGCCACCTGGTGGTGCAGGGGGGTTAAATCTCAGCACTATGAAGCTGTAGGCAGCACTGTAGCAACAGCTCAATCCCACGTGGTGCAACAAGTCTCTCACAGCTGTGTCACTTCACCTGCTGCTCCCCTCAGCAGTGTATGTCAGTAGATTTGCTTGTTCTGCTCCCTACTCTGTCTCTGGTGAATCCTCTCTCTCCTCCCCCCCTCACCCCCGCCCCCTGCCCCCTGCCGTACCTTTGGCTTACATGTACCCCAGCTCTTGAATGCAAAAATAAATAAATCTTTTTAAAAAATCAGGTTGTACTGAATATATTGTTTATTTGTATAGTATTTGCAGTATAGTTTTTCTGATTAGCTCTAACGCAAGTTTTCACTTTAAAAATAGAAAGCAGTAAATCATTTTATTTTGATATTTCAGATAATAAAATTATGATGTAAGGATGAGGCAAATATATTCCAAACATGACTTGATATAATCAAATCTTGATTGTTTTGATAAGCCATTCATAGAATGAAAAAAGATGTAATCATAATCTTAAGATATTCAGCATTCAAAACTAATTTCTACTTGGTTTAGGAGTCAGTTACAATTAATCTTTTCATCAGGTTTATACTGATATTTTTATTTCATTTGCATTGATACAGATTTCCATTTCCCTGGACTAATATTTAAAATGATAGGTAAAAGAATTCAGAAATACCTTGAGAAGGACAAAAACAAGTAACTGAATTTACTGATGCCCCCTAGTTCCTAATAAGATTTGGTAAAGAGGCCCTCCCTGCTGGCGCACAGGTTAGGATGGAGCACTGCAAGCTGACCGCAGCCTCAACAGTGCAAGTTTGATCCCCAGCCCCAGAGGTGATTCACATGGTACGGCAAACCTCTCCTGTCTCGCCCACTGCTCCCCTCTGCAGTGTACTTTGTCAGTCTACCTGTTCTGCTCCCTACTCTGTCTCTGATGAATCCCCTCACACCCCTTCACCTCTAGCCAGTACCCTAGTTCTGTATGCATAAATAAATAAATCTTTTTTAAAAATAAGATTTGGTAAAGATCTAAAAGTGAATTACATTTTAAATGGTGTTCATGTGTGGAGTGTGTGTGCACATCTTCACATACTTGTATGTATACTTGCTTTCAATTTAATTGATTTCTAATAATAGGTAAGCAGATAGACTATTTTTACAAATATGTTTCTTTGAAATTTTTTAATGAAACATTCAACAATGCATTCTGAGACAATGCAATGTATTATGACCTGGCAACCCTTTTTTTTTTTTTTACCATTCACAGGCAGGTTATAATAAACCAACTAATCATCTGTAAAATGTTTTTCACAGAGGTAGTAATCCTGAGCTTTCAGGTGCTTTTTAATTATGTTCCTGCCATAATTCTTTGACTCACTTTTTATTTCATATATCCTCTGGAGAGTAAGAGTAAGGTGATAGAACAAAAATGTAGAGAGAGAAAATTCTGCTTGGAAATCAAATTTAAAATACTGGTTTATCAAGAAAAGTCATGGGGTATTGTTTCTTTGAAAAGAGTGGTGACTGGGCCCTCCCTGGTGGCAGAAGGGGTTAAAGCAGTACGAAGCTGTCAGCAATCACTGCAGCGCCAGTTCAGTCCCTGATCAAGAAGGTGATCCACTTGGCTTGACAGAAATCTTCTGACTTGTCTACTGCTCCCCTCAACTATGTACTACATTGATCTGCCTGCCTGTTCCCATTCTATCTCTGGTAAATCCTCATACCCCTGCACCTCTGGTTTGTACCCCAGTTCTTTATGCATAAATAAATAAATATATATTTTTAAAAAGCCATGACTTTTCTGAGAACCCATTAAAGAAAATTATAAATCATGGATTCTCAAAATTTCTTACACCTCTCAAAAATGTATTTGGCATCATAAGTGTTTCTGAAGAATGTGATAAAAGTTTGAGGGGAGGCATTTTCATAGACAGGTTCTCCTTACCCTTTATGAGTTAAACACATTTCCTAGAAAAAGATACAAATCCAATTCTCTACTCTGGAAAAAAATTCTATTAGAAAAGCAATAGAAATAGAATTTATGCCAGAACTTGCTAAGTGAAATATCAACAATGCAAAAATTTTTATAGATACATATAAGTATGTAAAGTTACAGATTTTGGTAAAGATATAAACTAAACCAATGATTATGACCACTAGCTAGGGACCAGTAAGATTGGCTTTATTTGTAATGTTTGATTTTTTCTTTTATTTGTAATGTTTGATTTTTTCTTATATAAAACAATATAGTTTTGTATGATTTAATAATTATTGCCAACTAAGGTGCTTCCGAGTAGAAAATAACCTTTTATTTCAATTATATGAGTGCCATGTATCTCCAATCTAAGATAAGGGATCAAACTTATGATTATTATGTAGAATTTGTTTAATCTTTGGAGAACATCACTTGATTTTGGGTAGAATTTATTCCTTGAACATCACCTGATTATTGAAGCACATAAGAGAGAAGTAAATGTCTTGAAAAATGGCTGTTTTTGCTGATGAATTTTGCTAAGCAGATTTGGAAAAATCTGTGTTCTCATAAGGGTCTAGTAAGGAGCAGTTCCATCTTTTATCCTAGCATTTACCTAATAGAAGAACAAAATGAGTTTGATTCCAACTTTACAACACTGATTGATAATTTTTATGATTAATAGGAAACTGATTTTGCATGTGTGTATGTATACACATGTGTGTAAATATATGTATTATACATCAAATATGTAAGTACATGTATATATGTAGAGCTACATAGAGCTAAAAATATAGGTATGTATAGAAAAGTAAGGCCATACAATTAAGGAAATTCTCAATATCATAAAGCTAGGATATGGAGTTTGAATCTAGGCAATCCAGTGCTAGGCCCTGTGGTCCAGGTCCCTATGATGCATTGCTTCTGTTTCCTTAAATAATATATCAGGTACTCTTAGTGTAATCGAAAGATAGTTCTCCATGAGCATGGTATTGGGTCATTGACTGTATACTTAAATTTTCATAGATACTGCTAAATTGTTTATACTTCCACCAAAGTGTTTTATACGCTTATGAGATGATTTGAATTTTTACCAAATTGTAAGTAGGGGTATTTTACTTTTTATTTGGGGTGTGTTCTCTGTTCCCACATTTAATCGTTACTTTTATTTATTTATTTATTTATTTATGCGTACAGAACTGGGGCACAGACCAGTGGGCGGTTCGAGAAGAGGTGTGTCTGGCCAGTGGATCAGCTGCGGGGTGGGGATCAGACTCATGCTGAAGTGGCATTTGCTTCTCAGTGCTGTGCTTTAACCTGCTGCACCACCAGGGAGAGCCCTTTTTTTTTTTTTTCTTAAGTGAATTGTTTTTCTGTTTTCTTTGCCCATTTCTCTTATTTGGCTTTCTTATTAATTTATAAGCATATCCTAACAGTTAACAATTTACTGAATTAAAAAGTCAAAGCAGTTAAGTATATGCACACAATTTGTTTTAAAAAAGAAGTTCAAGCAGTTCAAAATGTCATACAAATGACATTCCAGGAAATGCATGCATACTTTTTTTTTAAATGATAATATGTATACATTGTCTTGTGCTTTCTCTTCTCTTAATGTATTTTGGAGATAATTCCAAGTGCCCTATCTGTAATTCTTTATATAAAACTTTATAATAATCCATTGTAAGATGATATACAACCAGCTCACCCTGGAGAACACAGATTATGAAACATCGATTAAACATAGATTACAAGTCATTTTTATCTGTTTTCTGGGATTAAGTTGCATGGAGTTTTATTTGTTTTTAAGATTATTTAGGCATACAGAACTGGTGCACAGGCCAGAGGTGAAGGGAACTTGAGAGTATTCACCAGAGAGAGGGGAGCAGAACAGACCCACTGACAAAAGTACACTGCTGAAGGGAGCAGCGGGTGGTGCCGGAGACCAGCTCCAACAATTGGGCTGACTGAGGTTCCGGTAGGAAATGAAGGTGAAGGTGAATGAGGGACACAAACACTAATTCTGGTGCAAGTGTCATCTGCTGACAGTCTCAGCAGGTCTTTTTTATTTTTATGTTTTCAAGCAGTGGGATTACATCAGCATATGCATTGAGTAAAATAACTATCACATATTCCTAAGAACAGTTTGAAATCTTTTGATCTTTAGCCAAGTATATAACACTTACCATTTTTTTTTTAAGATTTATTTGTGCATACAGAACAGGGATACGGGCCAGAGGCTCAAGGGTGGCAAGAGGCTTCCCAGAGACAGAGTGAGGAGCAGAACAGGCAGATCTACGAAAGTACACTGCTGAGGGGAGCAGCAGGTGGGTCAGGACAGGTCTGCTATGCCATGTGGTCACCTCCGGGGCAGGCAGGAATCGAACTCATGCGGAGGTGGCTTTGGCTTCTCAGTGCTGTGCTTTAACCTGCTGCGCCACCAGGGAGGGCCATTTATCATTTTTTTAAGGAAAACACTGCTAACAAGCATTTTGCAGCTGGGCGAACAATTTACTAATGATAAAGCAGGCAGATTAATTTATATAGTTATAACTAACATTTCTATTTATATTATAATAAAAGGTTAGCAGAACAAAAGGAAAGCTGCTTTTATTGCTAATTACTAAGGATCCTCATTTTTATTAAAGCATCCTTAAAAAACTTTAAAACAAGGCCAGGATAAGGAATGAAAAGTTTACAGTACTCAGTTCTAACATTAAGAGGAGAGTTGAAGGCCGAACAACAAAGGCTTAAACTTTTTGGTTCCTAAAGTTTTTCCTCCGGAGCTTAATTTAGTGTGTATGTCTGGAAGATAGTGGAAAGCAGGAGTTTGACTTACTGGTTTGGACAGGAACATGTTATCACAATATGTTTTTAGCACTGTCTAACTTTGCTGTATTAACTTTACAGTAATAGCCAATTGCTTTTATTAGAACCAAATTAAAATCTATTTTTACTTTATCAGATGCATCCAAATGCAAAAATGGTTGCAAAAAACAAAAATGGCCAAAACAGAGATCCAATAGGAGCCATCTTCGAGGTCCCTGACTTTCAGGGGCACCCCTTCATACCCATATTTTGTTGGACGGTATGAGATGTTTGGCCTGCGCCAGGGTGGGTCAGGAGAGGTCCGCCACATCATGTGGGTCACCTCTGGGGCAGGGATCAAACTTGTAATGAAGTGGCTGCTG